GCACATGAATCCATCCATCCAGTAGCTCTCCAGTAGCTTGCTGCCACCCTCCAGTAGATCTCTGCCCACCGTCCTGCCCTCCTGTAGCTTTCCCCTCGCACCTCTCTCCACACCCCCCTCATAGCTTGCTGCCCTGCTCCCTCCTGTAGCTCTCCTCTGCCCACTTGGAGCTCCTTGCCCCAGCAGTAGCTCCTGCTGATCCATGATCGGGTCGTTACACAGTTATGCTTCATGGTGTAACGACCATTTGCATATTACATCTTTATTTTATAGGATTATGTATAAAACAATATTGTAAAAACTAAGCTATGGAATTTTTATTAAAACATTTCTTACATACTGTTAATTTGGCTGGGCTGTATATTCATTTTGGGCCACGAGTTTGACATGTTGAGTCTAGGTCATTGCATAAAAATATGCTGTTTTGCCCAGTTTTTAGAGTATTACCTGCATATGTACAGCACAGCATTGTTGAGAGGGCACTTGTCCATGTATTTACTCCTTTGATACTCGCCACAATTCTCTGAAGCAGTCCGGTGTTCATTTCTGATCCTTTACTTGCAGAGATTAAACCAAGGCATAGAAAAGTTACAAACCAAGGCCTAGAAAAGTTATGTGAATTGCTTTAGGTCACATATTGACAAAGGACAGGTAGAATTTATATTTAGGCTTTCTGAACCTTGTTCAGTTCATATTTCACCATGCATCCTAGCATTTAATTCAATGGGCATTTATCAAATACTATGTTCCTAGAATAAAAATGTGTTATGGACCTGAGTTTTATTCCCAATTTATATAGAAGGACGAAATTATTAGGATGAACTATTAAAGCTGATATTTATATTTGTTAGTGCTTTGTTTTTGTTTTTGTTTTTCAGGGAAAATTCAACTAACTACTTAGAAGAGTTAATAAATGACTGAAAAATATGGAAGAGAATAATTTTTCCACAATCTTGCACATTTTAGGTTAAAGATGACTAATTGCAATTACCTTCTGAATCCCTATTTTGTAAGACAACTGATAGTTTATCCTATTGAGAATAGTCTATTAAACAATAGGATTAATAGGCTCAATAATTAATTCCTTATTAGCAGGAATTAATAATTTCTTATTAGCAGGAATTGATTTTGACTGCTTCCTTGATTTATTTTGAGTGGTTAATGGTTTTTTGGAGGAAGGAATACCTGTATTATACACTTAGAAATTGTTGTTCTATAGTTTCAATGAAATGTGGGAGTGAGAAAATTCCTTTCAATTGTATATATCTATTTCTAGTATTTGCATACAAAATGTCCATTGCTGTCTGTGTTTTGCAATGCAATATAGCCAAAGAATATGTTCCATAACATTCTAAGACTTTCCATCTTACAGAAAAGATACAATGTGATCCATTGATTTACTTTTTACTTTTTATATTAAGTACAGTATAGCTCAACACATTCCTTTGAAATGCAACATAAATATATAGATAAACTTCGTATGGGTTTACCAAGTTCTGTGTGGAGGCAGAACATAGAAGTTGAGATATAACATAATATTTGTTTTGATATTCTGTTCACTAATTTTCCATGGTAAGAACAATATTTTTTCTCATACATCAGTGAGCAACAATGATTACTTCAAAGCTTCTGAAGCCAAATACTACACCTGCATGTTCCAACACAGGTTGCTGAATTTATTACCAATACTCTTGGTAATGTATACTGTGTATTTCTGAGAATGAATAAGGAATAGTTACAATGGTGTCTACCATCTGTGCAGGTTAATATTAAAATAACTTGTTTCATTTTTTCACCTGGCCTGCCTTCTCTCTGTAGCTGCACTGCTTACTTAAGGGGACAATGGAAGTATTGCTCTTTTATCTTAAGGATTTGTAACATACTTAAGACCTTACCCTGTAGAATTCCATAGTGAAATGAAACTATTTTCTTTTTTTTCCCAGGTTCAGCTCAGTTATTATTTGCTACAATCAAATCTGTAGAATATACCAATGACAATAAAACTATTCTCATCCCATGCTTAGTCACTAATGGGGGGGCACAGAGCCTTAGAGAATTGTTTGTAAAGTGGAAATTTGGAAACAAAGACATTTTCTTCTATGATGGAGATAAAAATGAATCCAGCCCCAACAGTGACTTTTCGAGTGCATACATCATACCAAACGCACTACTAACAGGCAATGCCTCTTTGATGATGGACAAGAGACATGCTGTCCCAGGAAACTACACTTGCGAAGTAACAGAATTAACTAGAGAAGGCGAAACCACCATAGAACTAAAATATGTTGGTAAGAATTTTATTACCTTCCTTTTCATTTGTCCTGCAGTAGCCTAATCCTGTTAGAAATGGGGCACAATGGGACTAGGGACTCCTTTGAATCACAAAATAGTTTATGACTAATAAATGATTACGTAATATTCAGCAGCTTATAACATCATGAGTTTTACTTTCTCTTCTACTTTTCAAAATAAAACTCCTTAGCTGTTTCTAATTTGTGTATTGTCTGGTTCTCAACGTTTGTTCTAACTGTTCTACTGGTGTGGGGGTTCTGGCATCATTTAATCTGTATTTCTGTTTGCTGCTCTCAAAAGTACTGTCTTTCATGTGATTAATTTTCCGTGATCTTTCCAAATATGTAGCTTTTTTTTTTTTTATCACCTGCACTTTGGTCAAGGACTGACAAATCCCAGCCATGCTACAGCTGGAAAGAGTAGATTAGAAGGAGAATCACAAAATTAAAATCAGGCCATAATGATGTTTCCTTGAGGTTTCCTGCTATGGTGTTTGTTCTATTTTTTGGTCAAGATGAGGGAGAGCTAGGGATCCAATAGAATTAATTTGAATTCAGCCTTGGTTATAAAGGGTGTCTCAAAATTCACGCAAGAAGTAATTTTGATAGAAAAGACCAACAAGTGGATGCTGATTTTTCGAACAAAATCATCTTCAGCAATGAGGCTCATTTTCATCTTGATGGCTTGGTTAATTGACAAAATTGTCACATTTGGGGTTCAGAAAATCCATGAGTGATTGTTGAGAAACAAATGCATCTACAACGTGTCACTGTTTTGTGCAGATTTGGGCTGGAGGCATCATTGGACCATTATTCTTTGAAAATGTGGTGGCTCAGGCAATAACAGATAATGGTGCTTACTATTGAGACATGATAATCCAGTTTTTTGTGCCTAAATTGCAAGATATGGATGTGGACGACATGTGGTTTCAGCAAGATGGTGCCACATGCCTTACAGCCCAAGAAACAATTCAATTACTGCATGAGTCATTTCCTGGTCGTGTAATTTCCCTTTTGGGTGATCAGAATTGGCTGCTCAGATCATGCGATTTAACGCCCTTGGACTTTTTTCTTTCGGTTTTTTAAAAAATATATTTTATTGATTTTTTTTACAGAGAGGAAGGGAGAGGGATAGAGTTAGAAACATCAATGAGAGAGAAACATCAATCAGCTACTTCCTGCACACCCCCTAACTGGGGATGTAACCGCAACCAAGGAACATGCCCTTGACCGGAATAG